ACACTGAGTTGTTTTATCTCTGGATAATAAATCGAAAAAAAAGATGATGGAAGTTCTTCATCAGTGCAAATGAGCACAATTTTGCTGTTCAAAACGAAAATTTATTTACATAAGCACTGAAATTACCTCAGCCGAAGTTAATTTTGAGCAAGATGTTGCTGCGTAATGAGAGGTTTTGGTCGATTTCTGAACACCAGTTTTCGGGTAATGACAGCATCGATCAGCATTGATCGTTTATCAGCGTCTACATCTTCTCCAGGTGCAGGCCTGATTACTGCGAACGGCTTTTCTAGTTCGACAAGCTGAAAAAAGATAATGGATAGAAGAGAAGAAACATAGAAGAGAAGTGAAGTAGCACGACTTAGCAAACGGCGGATTACAAGTATCAAGGGTGAGAGCCAGGCACTGTTAACCTTTTTCGGTGATGGAGTAGTTCCGTTCGCTGTGGATGAAGGGGCGTATAGGGCGGGATGGATTACCACAGCAGTGAAGATGTGGAAAAAAAAGAACTAATGGGGGGGGGGGGTGCGTTAGATCTTATCCCTAGAAGAAAACACAAATAGGCATAGACTAATATTTCTGTCTAATTACCGACCACTCTTGGAGGCGCGTGGTGCTAGCCATTTCCACCAACTGCGGACGTCTGCCAGCTTTCGGGGTTGTTGGAAAACGGACTGGCGCCGCGTCGGACCCAACCCTTGAAACGCCCAAGCGAAGAAAACCCTAAAGCGAGGTCTTCTCATGGGAGGCTACGTGGCAGAGAAAAGCTCCTGCTTTTTGGGTATCCCATTCGACACTGCACCCCACGTAATGAAAACAGGAAACATAAGGTGGAATGATGACCGTTAATAGGTCAGGGTCTACTAGAAGCATTATCGTTGAAGAACGCTCAACGATAGGGCCGTATTTGACTCGCTGGAGAGGAGGTCATTTGACCTGCGGTCTGTATTACTGCCAAGGATGAGGAAGTTCCTCAAAAGAACAGAGACGTGTAAAATTCTGATGTAGTCAGGGGATGAAGAGGTGAGTTAAACTGTAATTGGCGCTGTTCAGCTCAAAGGGGCATTTCGCACGTTCTCTAGTTTCTGTTGCTGCCACATGTTAAATTATACGGTTCACTTTGCTAAGACCTATACACTCTTGTTGAATGTAAACCAAGCCCAGGCAATTGCAGAGCCTTAAAACAGGGAACAGATCTCTAAAGGAATCACTGGCAGCGATTGATGGGAACCAGCAGAATGCCCCCCCCCCACACTACCAAGTTGAACCGCACCCTGAACT